ACAGCAGAGCAGCGAACTCAAAGCATTGAGCCCCTCACATGCAGGAGTGGTTTCGACGGCATGGGGTACTTTCGAAAGACCAGCCAGGCCAGACTCCTGAGCTAAACATTACAGAACCACTAGGGGAGGTTCTACAGGTGCGTATCTCAGTGAATAAGCCACGAAAAGACGGGACTACAGAGAGAGACCCCACTAAAGAGCGAGTTCATTAGTTGACCCCGCATTCAAATCCAGTTTATGTATCCAATACTTTAGAGAGTTCTGGGCAATGTGCTAGACTTGCTTAATGTTAGTGACTGTTTACTTGACTGTTCTGTTGGGTTATACATTATTTAAATCAAATAAACGGATCAAGTGATCTTTCACCTGCCTTCATTAATTTCGAAAAATCTAAAATTTTCTAAACCCAAATTTGAGCTGAAGGTTGAAATTTTCTGTGTGGATCATAAAACACGTAGTTAATAATTGTTGCAAATTTGGAGACGTTCCAGTGACTTTCAAAAGAGAAATCATGAAAAAACCGTTTGTTCATAAATTTCTGGCCACTACTGTATGTCATCTACAATACATTGTATTGCCTACACATAGGAATTTAGTCGCTGTCTTTCCTCTGAAATTGCAGGAGCTCTTGAACGAAGAAAGACCGGAAGTCGGGTTTGAGGTCATGTCACTTAGCGTAAAATTTCTTCCTGGAGAAGAGCGCTAGAGCTCAGACTGAGTTGTCTTTTGTTGGCACGAGGATAGGGCCACACGGAGGAGGTGAAAGAACTGCTAGCCTGGAGTCTCCAATTTTTTATGAATATTCTCCGCAAGGTGGGGTCGAACGACCTCAGAAAAAAGCAGACTTTGTCTTGCTTTACTTTCAAATTGAACGCGTCGCCATTACGCTGTAGATGTTGATCTTCTTCAGTGACCTAGTATTACTGGGCGGCGGTTCCCAGCGCAAGGTCACTCTCGTGCTCCACCAATATCTCGGAAGGGTCGGACTAGAAGGAGGTTGGCTTTTGCTGTCAGAACTCCCGAATCGTTCATGCTAGGCTACTGCTCCTCGGAGATTTGCTAGTACACTTCCACCCAGTCCAGAACCCTGGTGAATATGCTGGATGATCACTGTAAGGAACTAAGGGAGATCAGAAGGAACATGACGATGTCAGATCGTGTTGGAGCTGTTTCGGGCTCACAGCATATGAGATACAAACTCCATATTTTAAAATCTTTACAACTCTACGTAGATGTCTACATTCCATCATTTAACAAGTCGGATATGCTCTGACAAATAGCGACTACTTTGTCCAGATCCAATCTCAGTGGCGCTGGGTAGAGCAGCAAGATTGCCAGTAGAGGGGTAGTTGGAGTGTGGGTCATCTTCAAATGAAAAAGCCAAATCCGGAACAGAGTGAACCGTGGATTGAAGGAGTGTGTCCTCGCCTATTTGCTGGTTGATCCACTACGTTGTTTGGCGTTTGAAAGATCCTAATCAGAAGTGATGAAGAAGGAAGCTCAAAAATAGGTTCTAGAAAATTGATGTAATAGCCATGTAAGGCAGCGTGTAAATGGGCTGACTAAATGCTCAGGTAGGATAATGTGGGTGCTACTTCGCAAAACATGTTTCACGCCTTTACCATTTTTCTTGGATTTTTTATAGCAATAAATGTAAAGTGATTCACTAATTATGGGATAACCTAATAGATGCGTTAAAAAACGATAGCTCATGAATGTTTTTCAACCCGAAATTGGTCTGGGAAATAAATAAATGATTTGCATCAAGCTGTTTTATTAGGTACGCCACTGTTTGAAGCCTTGGCGCCTTTTGAGTGCATGTTTGGTCTAGGAAGCAACTCCGATGTCAGGCTTTGCGAATCGAGCTATCCGTTACCAGCAATTAGACCAGCGCTTGTGGTCACGTCTTGACGCGATTGCGAATGCTAGCGAATCGCTCGATTAGCAAAAATCTGAAATCGGCCTAACGGGCAAATATGCAATTTATCGTTGTCGCCATTACCAACGGTTCAATCATTGTGCTAAGCAGATCACGTCCAAAAATCACCAAATACCTCTCACCATTTGTTTCGGTACAACGGACAGTCGACCCTACCACCCAACTGCATCTTCTAGCAAACAAGATAAAATGGAGGCTTGATTGTTATATTAGCCTAGGTCTCGTTGTTTTCCAGACCGTGACTGTGGTAGCGCCGCCACCCCTACATCCTCCTTGATTTATTTATTTAGGTGAAACTCCAGTTCGGGGGGGGGGGTGCCACTCCATTGCTATCTTATCCGTAGTACTAGAGAGCAGTTGTCTGAGCTATCGAACACTACGGATAAGACAATAAGTGAACGATCATTTCGAGCGTAAT